CAAAAAACATAAATAACAGGATTCCTGACGGTTGTGATTCTTTTCTAATCAACCCTGGATGTGAGATTTTTCTAAGGTCAGAGAAGGTAAATGTTTCTCCAGTGACAGTCAGAGAAGAGACATGACAAACTCATCACTCCAAAGCTCCAGCTGTGTGAACGTACAAACTGGTTTCCGTCAGCTCACCTCGTAGTCCATTTCTAAACAGGCAAACATGGGATTCTCAAAGCCAACGTCGACTCCGACCACGTGATAAACGAGCGTGTTCGCTTTGTGAGCTTCCAGAGGAGACGAGATGGTGAGCCTGGCAGCGGCGTCTCTGTTCAGGATGTAGACCAGCTTCTGCTTCTCTATCGCTCCTGGAAGAAAGAGGGGGAGGGGGGAATGCACATTAGATCCATGAAGCTTGTACAGCTCACTTAAATACACCTGTAGCTTCACAAACTTTGGTCAAACATGTAAAAAGAAAACAACTTTAATTTGTTCAGTCAGGAGTAGAACAGCCAAAGACACTGAAAAAAAAAAAAAAAAAACATTATTTGACTTTGGTCAAACGTAAAAAACAAACTGCAACAAACCTTTTTTCTAATGGCTCAGAAAGCGCAATTAAGAATTCTAAGAATAAAATAAAATAAAAAATAAAGCATAGAATTAGACTTGATAGATCCACACTTATGGATCAGGCAAATTATCACAAAACCCTCCGATATCAGGACAGATACGTCTCTAAACTTTACACTGTGTGAAAGGTACACCACCACCTACCGATCATCACAGCTCTTCCTTTTGGGTCGACGGCCAGGAACTGTCCGGGAACGATGCGCCGGCAGCCGCTCTTCCCAAACGTTTCCTGGTGAACTTTCTCAAACTGGTTTTTGGACGGGTGGTACTCCAGGATGACGATGCGGCCGCTGTCGCTTCCCACAACGATGTAATCTGCAGAAACAAACACAGATCACACAGTTACACACACACTGCGGCTCCTTCTCTGACCTGTGACCCAACTACAGCTCACCAGGCAGAGCTGTGCTGAGATCAGAGAGTTGAATGTTTCTCCACTTCTTATGTCAGAGAAGAGACATGACAAACTCATCACACCTTCAACACTTTGATCAGTCAATAATTTACCCAGTGTTGTCATTGAGACCCACCACACTCTTCTGTGTGGATGGTTTTACTGAAGGAAAGAAATTCAAAGCAGCTATTTTCAGTAATTAATTAAGTGACATAAGAAGCTGTTTAAAGGGAACTTTTTGAGAAATGTCAGAGAGAGAAAACATGATTATTGTCTGGAAACAAGAAGGCATTTTAAAGTTATAAACTTTATATCTTTCTACTTTGGAGAAAATTCTCTCAGAGTTTCTTGACTCTCAGTAAGTTGACAGTTATCAACCTGCTTCAGTCAAAAGGTCAGGCTTCATTCCAATTGATGTCTAACTTATAGATATTATTAATACTTCCTCCATATCGCACATTAAATGACTGTGTTTATGTAGTAACTCAGTTATTAACCTACCAATAGTTCAGTAAATGCCATCAAAGTTTTAAGAAAACCTGCCGTTTAGTGTGCGGTATGGATGCAAGGCCTCAATGAATGCTGACATTTGATAATAAACAGTCTATTCTGTCAAAATTATGAAGTTATTTGCAACTGGTGTTGCAAATCAAAATGAAAAACATGTTATTAAATGAAACTACAAACTAGTTAAGATACAATTTGGGATCAAATTTCTGGTTTCTTCAAGCCACGGGTAGTTATTTGCTCGTTTAATTTCTGCATTTTGAGCGAGCGTTTCCATGACGACATACCTTTAGTTCCTCCTGTGAGCCTGAAGGCCATCAGGGACCTGACGATGCCGAACACTTCCATCGTGAGGAGGGTATGCACCTTTCCCGTGTTCGCATCCGGACGCAATAATTCCAGGATCTTTCCCCTGGAAACAACAATCTCCTGCATCTTGGTTCCTACCAAAACACAAACAGATTAAACTTAATCTGCGCTAAGCTCCCTAAAAATCTTAAAATCACTTCTTCCACTTTAAAGAGCAAATGAGTCAAAGACGGTTTCCAACCAAAAAGGGTTGAAAGCAGCTCAGCCAAATAACCTGACTGAACAGGAAGGAAAAATATGCAGAGGAAGCTCACCTGAGAAGTTTCCATGAATGGCATGAGTGATGCCGGTGGCCCGCTGCAGGGTGATGTTGTAGAGAAACATGGTTCCTCACGCTGTTGTCTGTGACGGCTAACGGAGTGCTCAACCCAGAACTACGAATAAACAGGAAGAAAAGCAGCAGTGGAAGATGTTTTATGTAGTTAGTTACAAAAACAGCAGCTTAATTATGTTTAACCAAGAGTCCTGCTGGAAAAAGAATAACAATTAAACTGAGTAAATCAAATAAAAATGTCAACGGTTACATAAATTTGGAGTTACTTCTAAATTACCTCATGAAACATGGACAGTTTACAAACTTTCTCAGATTTATTCAATGCTAGTTGCACAGATTGTGGCCCTAACTATAAATCCTTCACTATACATAGCTTTCCTACAGGATTAATAAACAAAAAGATAAACACCATCCACATTCCATAGATCCATTAATAGAAAAGCATTAGAATAAAAGCTTTAAACCTGAAATTACAACAGTAATGTTCAAACATCAGTCTGTTGCATCTTCATTCAAATACAGTATGAAAAAAATCATTTAAAAAGATTCAAATTTTTGATTTTGGGTTATTTGGCTTGGTGAATAAGTATAATACTGTATGTAAGATTTTTGAAGCGCATCTTCTGACCCCTTGCCTGGCATGCTATGGCCCACTGCGGGCTCCGAGCCCAACATTGAGAACCACTCTTCAATATCCCACTAAACAAAACCAGAACTTTCACTTTTACAAACATCTGGACATTTTCATAACTCACTTTAAGTGGTCTTTACTACAAAAAATAACGGCAGTTGTTTCTGCAAGCACAAAGAAATGTTACTTTTATACATTTTTTTAAAGTATGTTACTATGGAGCTTAAAATCTACTAATTGAATTTTGCAAAACGTTTGGGATTTGTAATTTGATCCAGTGTGAAGGGAACTCGTCTGAGTGGTGTGGTTTAGAATCCGGCGCTGGCTCTGGACTACAACTGGCTTATTTTAGCTTCTCCTTTAGCAAACTTTCAGCTCATTGTTAATGTTTAGCTGCCCGTAACTCCACTAATAAAAAGTTAATACATATTAGAACAGACTCCTGCTTTATAATCAACCTCTGCAGATATAAACAGTGTTTTTAATAAAAACTCGGCCTGTTTGAGTCGAGTTGACCTCCATTTTTACGTTTTTCATACGAAGCGCCACTTTCTGCCAGATGCATCCGCTTCACTGAAAAACAGCAACATTCTACCGCCATACAGCATCTGCTTAGCTCCAAACAAACTAAAGATGTGCAAAATAAAATATTTACCGGGGTAGTTAATTAGATGTTTGAGATTTCAGCGGATAAAAATCATCCATTCAAAGCTTTCTCTGAAGCTTTCCGAAGCCGGGGTCCGTCTTTCCAACGGTCGCAAAAGATAGGTGGCCCTAAACAATGCCTGACTGAAATTATTCTCTGCAGTAACGCAATATGTCCAGCAGATGTCGACAAAGGATCATAAAGTTACGATACAGTAAATAGAAAAAGGAAAATACAAGAATTGTAATTTATTTTGGAAGGGTCCGATTAGGAACTGATCAAAGCCAGCAAAGAAAACATATATTTTTAAAAATCTTTAAGAAAAGGAAGCACTGATAAATGAACTAATCATTGAAAAAACTATGCAGATTTGTCTCAGTAATTTGAACTACAAAACTGTATTTGTTTCAGTACTGAAATTCAAAAATATATATGGATTATTTACACAAAACATGATATATTTCAAGTATTTTTTTCTCTTAAGTTAATAGTCCAGTTAAATCATTTTTGCTGAATTACTGCATCAGTGGCATGGAGACCATCAGTGACCCTTTTATTCTGCCACTCAACTTTTCATCGATATAGCAGTGACAATATGTGGATGTCACTGACTATCAGATGTATTTCTTTATTAATAAACCTTTATTAATATTTGTCTAAAGTTTTTAAGAAACTGAATGTTGGGGTTTCATGAGCAGTCTCAAATCATTAGCATCAAAACAAGTACTTGTGATGTATTATGAATCTATGTAAAATATGACTTTATATTTTTGAACAGCTGCGACAGACTGGCGACCTGTCCAGGGTGACCCCGCCTCTCGCCCGAAACGTTAGCTGGAGATAGGCGCCAGCACCTCCCAACCCCACTAAGGGACAAGGGTGTATAGAAAATGGATGGATGGATGGATGGATGGATGGATGGATTTTTTAATAGAGTAATTAGCTATTTTAATGTATTGAGATCAAGATCTATTAGGATAAAATACAACAAAACACTCAAAAGAATACATAACAAATATGATTATTTCTTTCTAAATGAAAGTTACTTGCTATTACATTAATTGGAAATTTGTTTTATTTAAAATAAGATATTTTTATCATTCATTTGATTTTTATTTATCTTTTACTTATATAGTTAAAACTTGATTTATTTATTGCCTAGCTGCGTTTCAGTAAAAAAAAAAAGATTGTTTATTTCTAATTTAACCCCATTTTAAGTTATTATATTTGTAGTTCTTATGTATATTTTAATCAATTTACGTGTGCTATATGTTTTTTTTTAATCCTTTTTGTAACTTTGTATGCATGTGTATAGTTTTGGCAATTGTATTTCTTGTTTATTTGTTCTGAGGTATCTCAGACTTTTTGTTCACCTATAAGTGTTTCATACTCGCAATTAACACAGTTGTGTTTCCTCAATCCTTCAAACCAAAATCACATCAGTTTAAAATATGTCTGTACGGGGTTTCCCTGTTACTATCATGGTTTATTTTTTATTGTAGATTTTCTTTTTTTTTAAAGTATTTCCGCCAAAAATTCAGAAAATTTTAGATTAATCTTCAAATTTTTCTAGAAAAAAATATTCTTAGTTTAAAAAGTTGTAAAGTCACACATTTTCAACTTAAGGAGTTCATAAATGTTATTTTTTCTAGAAAAGTTTTGAAATTAATCCCAAAATTTCAAAGTTTTTTGTGCAGTAATTCATCCCCATTTGTGCGCATGAGACCATATTTACCTTCGATTAGCTCGTTTTCTCATTATTACCTTCTGTTTTTATCTCACATTGTTATGTAAGAAAATGCTCAAGAAATAAAGACTGATTGATTAATTGTGATTTTTACCATGTCGTTCGTTTCTTTGCACAACCAACAACAACAACAACAAAAAATCTCTGCTCGGGCTTTTTTGTGAAAGATTACAACCGGAAGTCGTGGTTTATCGCCGGTCAGTTTGACAGCCGTGGCCGCCGGTGATCATCCACGGTTTCTCCGGGACAGACTCCGACCTCGCAGCTCCTCCGGGACACGTCCGACCGGCCTCGGGGCTCGCTCTGGCTCTGTGGACCCCCCGCGGTCCTCCACCTGTCCCGGCGTCCTCCTCCGCTCCGACCAGCTCCCAGTCTGCGGAGTTAGCAGCTTTTAGCATCTGCAGGCAGCGTCTCCTCTGGCTGTTTTTACGTCTGCTCCTCTGACCAGGAGGTTTCGGCTCCGGCTCTGGAGGCTTTGGACCCGGAGAATAAACAGACGCATTTACATTCAGACGGCGTGGCTGGCTGCTGGAAGGCTGCGGAGCCTGAATGACCTGCAGCCGCAGCTGCAGCAGCAGCAGCAGATCTACTGGTGCCACACGGAGGTAGGTCGTTAAATCATGTTTTAATTAAAGAGGGGGCATGTTGGAGCTTTTATGCACACCCAGCTGGTGATGATGAAGAGCCAGTACCTTCCTCCTCATGGAGGTCGTCAGATTTGTTTCTGTTTCTGAGGACATAAACTCCATACTGTCCTCCTCGTGTCGCCTCACATGTGCAGAAATGAAGCCTGTCTCTTTAAAATCTCATGCGCACAGATCAGATGGTGACATTTCAAGCCTCCTCTTCATGCTCCATCCTTGCTTCCCCACCCTTCCTTCCCTCTTTTTGTCCTCTCGGCCCCTCATCCATCTCTCTGTGGCTCCATTGATCCGGCCGCTGGCGTTGCTAAGAGACAGCAGAGGGCTGTGAAGGGCAGAGAAATGATGGAGGACAGATTTACCTGCGAGCAGATGAAGATCAGGTGTTCATGGCTCTGTTTTCTGTGTGAGAAAAATCATTTTTTAATGCTTACAGAATGTTTTTATAACTCCAAACAGAAGAAAAGTTGAGATGGATTTTCTCTTTTAGAAACATGGGGAAACTGTTTTGATCGTTTTCAGAGTGAGAAATGTGAAGCTGGAACATCCAACTGGACGAAGAAATGGGATATAGTTAATTTACTCCACTGCTGGAAATAAGGCATTAGATTTTCCTGGGTGGAAGGTCAGAGATGGATTATTTGACTGGATGTACTTCATAATTTTAATATGCAGCAATAAAATAAAATAAATGCAATAATTTTCTACTTAGGACCAAAAACAAGTGGACATTAATCAGGGAATTTGCCCTGATGTGGGTTTCCCAACCCTCCAGATGTTTTGACCTCTGACCTATCCTGACCTCTGAACCATCCTGACCTCTGAACCATCCTGACCTCTGAACCATCCTGACCTCTGGCCTTCCATGACCTCTGACCCTCCCTGGTGGCGTTCTGGTTCCGGCCTGCTGATCCGATTCCTTTTGTCACATTTTCATCCAGTGGGCGACTGAAGCGCAGCGAACATCAATCTATCAGACTTCAGAGCTGTAAATCTACTCTGTGAATTTTAATTTGGCCGTTAAATAATCCAGAATCGGCTCTTTAATCTGCAGCCGTCCTCACGGCGCCTTTGGAGGACTTTGATTCTGCTTCTTCCTTTCTGCCAAAGTGAAGCCGCAGAGCATGGTTCGGCTTAAACTGACACTTTTCTGCTTCGACTTACTGATCAGAAACAAGAAATATGTCGATTTTCTGCCTGCTCTGACTCTTGATTTATGATTTATCGGAGTTAAGGCAAGGAGACGCCAACAGAAGCACATCCTTCAGCAACTCAGAGCTGCAGCAAAGAGAAAAACAGCTGATGCTTCAAGCAGCTTCATGAATTATTACCTCTGTTTAATATGTAATGTTTTACATTTTGTCCTTCCAGTTCAAAGGTAAGGAACCCCAAAACACAGCATCACTGTATCCATATATATTCATTTTAGTAATCTGTTGGTGTGTACCATCCAGAACTGACATTAATTTAATTAAATTATCGATTGTATTGTTTATTTTCATTTGTTCTGATTATTATTATTGCATTTTTAAATTAAATATAACTTTATTTTGAATATAACTATCTCATTTGGATTTTCTGAAGTCTTTTAATGCACTTTTACTCATCAAAATATTCACATTTTGTCAGTGACTCCCCTATTTGTGTGTAACTACTGCCTAGTATGACAACATTTAATTTCATTTTTAATTTGATCTATTTATGTAATTTAATTTGTTTTATTTTTGATATAATTAAATTTTAATTTGCAGAGTCTGTATAATCCAGTTATCGATTTATCAATTACTAAATTAGTTGACAATTATTTCAATAATCGTTTCAGCCACAACGGGATTACATTACATCCTGATATTCTAAAGCCAAAAGGAAGAGGGTGTACTTACTTCTTTTAACCATGACTGTATTTGATCAACAGCAGACCAACCGTTGCCCTCTCTGCTGGACGCCGAGCCGTCAGGTGACAAACGGACCAGAGGCCAACAGTTTGCTAATTGGATTCCTTCCTTTAAACCGAGCGCACACTCACACAAACAGGCTTTATTATCTGCCTGCTTCGTTCTGAGAAGAACCGATTTGAAATGTAAATCCGTCATGCTGAGCCGCAGCCAGGTCCAACACCGTCCCAGCAAACTGTTTATGCAACAGATTCGTAGATTTCTGAATCAACTGATTCCTCCACGAAAGCAGAAGCCTGTGTTTGGAGAACAATTCCCAGCTGCCTCTGCCGTGTTTTCTCTTCACAAACAACTAAAGGAAAAGCAGAACGATAATTCTGTTATGCAGAAAAGGCTTGATTCCCACCTGGAACGCTGCAAAAACACAAAATATTATCAAGTATTTTTCCTCTAGTTTCTTGTGCAAATATCTTATACTTCAAATAAGAAAAGTAACTTTTCTGCAAGACATAGCAGATTGTTTCAAGTCAGTAATGTTGATGAAAAAGAGCATGTTTCATTGGCAGATTATTTCACTTATAACAAGATTGTTTCTAATTGGTATCAAGGAATTATTGATTTACAACAAGCTACTGTATGTAGTTGAAAAATTACTTGAGTTAGTTTTGTTTTATTTCAATTGTATTAAGATATTTGCACAAGAAACTAGACCAGAAATACTTGGTAAGATTCTGTGTTCTTGCAGTGAAAGGTTAAAAGATGTAAAATCAGTGCAGGTTCTTTGTCCGGTAGTGAAACCTGGCAGAGACTACAGATTAAGGGCTTAAAAAAAATCTGTGACTTGTTTCGACTTTTCTGCCTCGAGGCAAAAGGGCCTCCAGTGAAGATGTGCATCGTGACAGAGTCGTTCAGCGACAGCAGGTTTTCATGGCAGGAATGAAGCCAAACCGCCACTGACTCACACACACACACACACACACACACACACACACACACACACACACACACACACACACACACACACACACACAATCCTATCATTTTAAACTGCTTACTGTAAATGTATTTCATTTTATCACATCCACTCAAACACAAACGGCCTCCATCCAATCACTATAAACTGCTTAGCTTCACACACATTTAACTCAGTTAAACTGGGAACCAAACACATCCTGGAAAACCAAAGAAGGTAAAGCCAGGATGGAAACTGCAAGGTCTCCTAAACCGGCTCCGCTTACACGCTGAGCTGTTCTTCCTTTTCCTGATCAGACTTAAAACAAATGCTAAGCAGCCATCTTGAGTTTTCAGCTAACTGGTTCACCAAGCAAAACTTGGTGAACCAGTTAGCTGAAACTACAGTCAAATTAATCGTGATGAATCAGTTATTGAAATAATTGTCAACTAATTTAGTTATTGACAATTTAGTTACAACATACTATATAATCAAAATTGGTGCTGAACACCTACTGGTATAGGTTGGTATAGGTTGCACTTCAGGAAGTGATTTTTTAACAGACCTTTCACTCATAATTTCAGTTTTATTGTTGAGTTTTTCTAACTCTGTTGCTGATAATTTTGGTTAATTGATGAGTGAAGGACTTTGGTCAGAAAGCGTGCAGGACATCAGTAGATTTTAAGCTGTTTACTGATGCATTCTGGGTACAGAACAAATGTGTTGAGAACATGAGAGGAAGAGGAACCGTCTTCACCCACTTCAAAATAAGAGCATGAATATAAACGTCTATTTGAAAAATAACAGTCAATAACCAAAACTTCAACAAAGTTGTCAAACTTTATTCAACAAAAAGTTCACAAAACAGCAACATAAATCAGAACTTTCTAATTTACTCAGAAAAATTAATTTTATGAAAGCTAAGGGTGCTAAATGTCTTCAACACTAGCAAAACACTAAAAATTAGCGCTGCTATTAGCGTTTACCAACCGCTGACACCTTCCTGTGTGCTTTGAGCATCAGGCTACCAAATGTCTTGCCTTCATTGGGTTTCTCACTCTGATAACGATCAATTAATCAAAGCGTCGGATCAGCAGGATGTAGCTGAGGGCTGTGGCTGTCTCAGGATACAAATTCAGATTATTTTAATGAGAAAATGTCTTCTAGTTCATGTTTCGAATCCTGTTTCTAATAAAGGATGCACATGTGAGACCGAAGCTGCCTCACCCACTCATATCATCCATCAGTGTCCCGGGGTCCCTTTGATATCCGCCCCCATCCTCTCCTCCTTTGTGCTTTGTAAAAATAGTTCATCTTTGATGCATTAAAGTTGTTTTTCAGGACACAGAGCGTAAGAACACCATCATATATTATATTATATTAAAACTCAACTTCAGTCAGATTCTAGGCCAGAGCAGTATTAAATTACCGTAATCTGAAACTTGCTTTGCTGAGCCAAATCATATAATAATGCATAATTTCTCGACTCACAAACTGAAGTCTAAAACTGCAGCTGATTATCTTTATTATATCATTAGAAGTCTGCAGTGGTGGGACTCTGAAGCCTTTTCCAAGCTCGACTAATTACCTAATTAGGAAAAGCTTCAAACAGGTTAATCAGACACCAAGGGAGCGCGCAGAGTTTTAATGGATCCTGACATCTCCAACTGGATTTTTCTCCTCTTTTTCCTCTCTGGTTGCTGCTATTGGGGGAAATTCACTGTTTATAAAGAGCTATTTTATCTTTACCTCATGCTGCTTCTCATACACACACAGCTTAGAAGATTAAAAGCAGACACAGATGACAGAGCAGCACATGGATTGTGTTCAATTCAATTCAAGTTCATTCGTATAGCACATTTCAGCAACAAGGCAGTTCAAAGTGCTTTACATCTTAAAAACATCACAGACAATAAGCATTATATTTTGTCAAATACGATCAAAGTAATCAAGCAAATGTTCATCAGAAATGCTGATCAGTGTCCCATTTACTGCTAATCAAGAGCAGCTCTAAACAGGCGGATGATTTAAAGGCACTCAGTGTTTCAGCAGTTTTGCAGTTTTCTGGACGTTTATTCCAGATAAGAGGAGCATAAAAAGTGAATTCTGTTTCTCCA